CGCAGCGCCCTCTCCACACATCTGGGAAGTTCAGCGGGTTCGGCGGGGTAAAACGAGAGAGAGGGCACGCGCCCGACTCCGCTAGCAGACGACCAACCGGGAGGTTGCCGTTCTCCATCTTTGGGCTGTATCGGCGGGCTCTACCGAACATCGAACTCTCGCTCGTGGCTGCCGTTGTGAAGTGGTTCGCGTTCTTAGAATAGTTGTGGCTACTCCAAAATCAGCCTATAGCTCTCTGTTGTTCTATTTTGCTAAATGATCAACTGGAATATCCTTTTTCCGTTACTTAAATAGCGGTTGAGTCAGCCGGCAGTACTACCCTCAACTACTGCTTGTATTGCGGCAGGAGAGCACGTTTTATTTATTATTTCATACTTCCACTCATGGTCGTTAAAGGCCTACACCAGTACGAACTTTTGTACAGTAAAAAGGTACAGCAACCGGATTTACTTTTCGCCAAAGAGACCGGCCAATCTGACATAGTTTTCCCAAATGTTTTTTTTTTATTTGCACGCAGGTAACAGCGCAATTGAACCCTGTGAGTCTTTTTATCTAGCATAATATTACACAAAAGCTGGCCTACCAAAATCTGCGCATCTGCGCTTGAAAGTTTCAAAATGACGCGATCTTAAACAGAGTTTGCACGCCAACCGGACGCTAGCTACAGCCCACTCGGCGGAGCGGACGACACGCGGGGTGAGAGGGGGAGTGCATTTTTTTCTCTTTTACCCTCTCTGCTATGACCCTAATGGAACGGTCTATACTGACGAAGCCTGGCAGATCGCCACGAGACGCGGCCCCTGAAAGTGAAAAGATAGAGCGGTAGACAACGAACGAGAGGAGAGGTATGTAACGGGCGCCCCGCTGCGGCGAGACGCCGAAACATACTTGTATCGAGCGATGAAATGTCTGCTCGTGCTCCTCGCGTTCCTCGGGCTACCGCTTCTTTTCTCGCAGGGTTTGAAAACCACGTTCCGGGTCCTCGCCGCTGCAAAAGCTGTGCGCTGACTACAGGCTCCCCGAGAAATGCTCTGTGCTACCAGATCCTCGCGCTCCAAATCTGCGACCGAGCACTCTACGGCTCCGTCGTCAAACTGACAGGCTTTGTGAGTATAAAGGAGGCTATGGCTGCACCTAACAGAGACAGAATCGTAAATATGAATGCGTTTAGTTAACCCCGATACTCAATAAAAAAAAATTCATTAAAGATTGGGACGGTTGGCCGCACAAAATTTTTAGGGCGCTGCTCTTAGGTACCCGTTTCCGGGTTGAGCGGCGTCTACGTAACCGCGCTAAATTTAGCGGGAAAATTGACGTCACGTGACCTCAAAACCAATTCAATTCACGGGAAAAATGACGTCACGTGACTTGGTGTCACGTCACCTATGAACAAAATCGGTTTCTCCGCTTGATTTAGCGAGAAAATCGACGTCACGTGATCTCAACAGCAATTAAATTTCCCGCTACATTTAGCGGCAAAATTGACTTCACGTGAATTCAGTTTTCCCGCTAAATTTAGCAAAGAAACTGACGTCACATGACTTGGTGTCACATCACTTTTGAACAAATTCAGTTTCTCCGCGAGATGTACCGGAAATTTGACGTCACGTAACCTCAGCAGCAATTCAATTTCCCGCTAATTTTAGCGTGAAAATTAACGTCACGGGACCTCAACACCGGTTTAGTTTCCCCGCAAAATTTAGCGGGGAAAATAACGTCACATGACGAAGTGCACGTCACCTATGAACTAATTTAGTTTCTCCGCGGGAAAATTGGCGTCACGTGCTAAGGAGGAGGAGGGGGGAGGAGGAGGAGTAGGGCAGGGGAGAGGATGAGGAGCAGGAAAGAAGGAGGGGAAAAGGAGGGGAGGGCAAGGAGCAGAGGAGGAGGGTACGGAGGAGGAGGCGGGGCATACCCTCGCCTCCATACTTTGCCCTCCTCCTCAAGAGCTGCGTTCTAATTTCGCGTTACAGAGATTCGTAAACGTCTTTAATTTTTTTTTCCAATATATTTTGACAGCATCGAGCGCGTGACGTCACTTGCCGCTCGCTTTCAACACCGTCTGGCGCCACCGTAGGTCGAGGCGTTTCCGCGTTGTGCGGTTAAAATATATCTTGCAACTCTGTCCTGTCCTTTTTCACTGCCCTAACCACCACAAAGAAAGAAACCACAAGAAAAAAAAAATGAAGCAAACGCTGCGCTCATTTCCGAATTCATGAACGCTAAACATCTTTTCGTTCAGGGATCCTTTTGACCGTGTGTACTTACAAAAAAGGACCAGTCCCGTACGCAGTCGCAGCGAAACCATGCGACATCTTATCGGACCCTAATATAGGATGTCTGAAGTCACCAGGCTTGATCTAAAATGGAGCATAAAGATCGACGCCTACACGAAGCAATCTAAACTTTTCGTCATACGTGTATTTCGCAGTGTTGGGACCGAGCGTTTGACACTGGTTGGTGGTGTGTCGACTCATGCCAGGCACGGGAGCGGGAGTGGGGCAGGAGACTGGGAGCCGATCAGCGGTAACGAACTGTACAGTATGTACAGATTTAATTACATCCTATGTACAGGTTAGGCGGCTGATCGTCAGCAGCGTTCATCGAGGTTGCGAGTTCCAGCAAAAGATAAAAAAAACACCACGCTCTTGCGCGCGCTCTTGCACCAGACCGTTTTCTTTCTCGTTGTCTTGCTACCCCCAGGTAGCTCGAGGCTGTAGGAGCGTCCTTTGTCCGGGACGTTCAAAACTACGCCAGATGAGGAGACTTCCCGGCGCTGCCAGTTCTGTCGGGGCAGCCGAGGCAGTTCCTTTCTTTCATGCCTCGGGAAAACGAGGGCGCCACGTGTGACCGGTCCATCTCGCCGATCGCCGATACTTGGTGATGAAGCCGGACGCCCGCAGGGATACAACAGCAGGTCCGTTTTTTCTTGTAAAATTGCAGAGCCCATAAACAGGATAATTACATTCCCTTTCTGTAAGAACAACAACAACAACAAAAAAAAAATAGGGCGAAAATCTTGTCAGGACAACGGCGGGCGGCGACTCAGACGACTGAGCCGAGCGGCAGGGCGCGTTTGGCGCACGTATTGATAGATGGCGCTGCCTAAGAACTCTAATCGAGACAGTTCACAACGACCTTGATTTACTAAAATGAAGATAATATTTTTATAGTGTACCTTTGGTTTACAAATAAATTCGGACAATAAAAACAAAATTTAAAGTTAAAGAAAAAAAAAACGGTGGCAAAACAACGGCGTTTTTGCTGCGACGGATTTCGTCTGCGAGTCATTCTTTCGCTGGTCGGCTACACTCAACGTTATTAGATTATAGTATGGTGCCTGGAACGCGTCTCCGACTGGTGTGTTTACCGCGTCCGAAAAAGTGGTCCCTCGATTTCCACCTGATGACGTCATAGAAGTGTCATGGTGTCGGCGGTCGCGACCCTGGTGGTGTCTCAGCAGCTGTGGTGGATATGGCAGACGCCTGTTCTGCTGCAGGTCGCTCTCTACTGTGACAGTCCACGGAAGCTACAGCAGCCGAGAGTTGGGACGCCTGGGACGCCGTGACGACAGCGACACTCGCGTTCGCTCGCGCTTTTCGCCAGCATTTCTATGGCCAACCGCCAGGATCGCGACAGTCAACAGCATGGCACTCCGGCTTCTGTGACGTCATTTGTTGCCACTTGGGGACCACTTTTGATGTATGGGCAGCATAGGACACTAAACACACCAGTCGGAGACGCGTTCCAAGCACCATAATTATAGGGAACTGCTCATTGACGCTGCTTGCACGAGCAGTACTCCCCTCATTCACCACGACTCGCCTCCCGTTGTTCGAAGCGCCGGACGGTTGATAACTGCAGTGTCTTCTATGCAGTACGTATACTTCTCGAAGCACAGCCCGTCTAGATGGCGTTCCATCGTACTCTATGGAAACACACAGTTTTGAAACCGAAAACTAGATGGCGCTTCAAACGACGGGAGGCAGACTGAAGTGAGTAAGGGGGAGGGGGGACACCCTTCCACGGGAGTTTCACAGTTGAGGTAGTGTAGTAACGTTGGCAACACCTTCGGACGCTGCTCCCGACGCCATGCAATACGTGCGCCAAACGCGCCCCCGCCGCTCGGCACAGTCGTCTGCGTCGCCATGCACCCGCCGTTAACCATGGCAAGTTTTCGGCCCTATCTTTTTACAGAAAGGGAGCTATGCCTTGTAATTTTACAAGAAAAAAAAACGGACCTGTGCAATAGACCTTTGACGAAAAGTTTAGAATGCTTCGTGCACGCGTCGATTTTTACGGTCCATTTTAGATCGAGCCTAGTAAATTCAGACACCGTATATATCCTTATGTACCTTGCACCTTCCGTCGAGGAACCATCGCCAACGCCTGCTCGGAGATTGACGCATTCGTTTATTTCACACACACACAAAGCACTCCTAACACGCGGTCACCCTGACTAACCCTGACCGGTCAGTCGCCATACAGAAGACGCGGTGTTCGTTTCAGACATGATGGCAGCGGCAGCTGCGGCACGTCCCAGGCATGTTTGAAGCACATGTTGTGTTCGTAAATGCTCTTGAACATGCCTGCAGGCTGTATGACTAACGTGACCACCATACAAGGAAGACTGTCTCTTGTATGATGTCTTCGCGGTCATGTGACGCCCGTACGTCCCACGACACCGTGACGTAACGTGACATCCCAGCTTCACATGTCGCCGTGACGCCGTGTCACGAGACGTCACAATATCATGTGACACCGTGATCTTATAAGCCACCGTGACGTCACGCGATACCCTGATGACACTGTGACACAAGGACACGTGACACAGCGGCATAAAGTTTCGAGTGGTGGTGCGACGAGCAACGGCTATCACTGTGAAAAGGGCGAGCATGGTAAGTTCTCACCGCGTCCGTAGTCGGGGCGAGTTTTTGCCCTTAGTCCAGATTTCACGACGGAGATGCCCGTTGGTGACTGTCTTCTTGATCCCTGTTGGTTTATTGGTACGTAAAGAGGGAATAGAACAGAGCTTTGGACGGGTGCAGACCGTGACAAATAACAGTCAGCGGCAGATTGTCATGCCTGGGGATGTTCCTTCGGTTGCCGCTTGTCGAGATTTCTCTCGTTGCATCTCCGCCTCTCTCTCAAGCAAAGCCCGCACCATAAGACGACGTTGCAGGCTGACAAAGTTCCTAGGAGCCAGAACAATCCGCGATAATTTCCCAATCCGTCCCTGAAGTGTCCTGAAGAAAGAAAGAAAATGCGGACGTCCGAATACAACATCGACAAAATACAAAACAGCACGCATAAGTGCACACGTTGTGTTTTGTGAAGTATATACATAGCCATACCCGTTGCAGGTTAAAAAAGGCGGGTCAAGCCCCCTCCACTCTTTCCTCTTTTGCAGAGCGGACGCTGGAGAAGAGGCGAGACCCTGCTCGCCTCTTGCTTCCTCTGGAGCATTAAATCTTGTGTTTGGGCGAGATGGTTCATACTGATTTAAAAGGTTAAAAAGCGCAACAAAACAAGGACAATAAAGACACAAAGACGACAGGACGGGCGCTAACTCACAACTGGTTTTATTAGAAAAAACACTGTCAAACACTGTTTGTGTCTTTATTGTCCTTTTTTTGTTGCGCTTTTTAACCTTTTAAATCCTCTGGAGCCTTCACTCTGCTGAAGTGGACAGAGCGGCGGAGCAACTTGTCCTAATTTTCTGAACCTGCAACAGGTGGCGCTTATGTCGGCTCGGCGCAAGCGCAAAATATTTACCGCGAATATGATTTTTGTGCAAGCGCGGTGCATACAAGGCAAACATAGACTTGTCTGTAAATTGATAATGCTACGTAACGATGCTAGTGAGCAATAGACCCTTTTCAAAAGTCAGGGCTTCCTACACCGTGAGTCAGGGTCACATGGTATAGACATTAAAACGGTCTTACACCGTTTTACTAAAAGGGGGCGGGATAGAAGTGGGTAAGGGCTGCCACGCACTTTGCTCCTTGCTGGGTTGGGACAAACGGGAGAAAGACCCGGATGGTGGTCGTGAAACTGTATCTCATCGGAGCATTTTCTTTTTCGCACGTCAATGGAGGATGAAAAAGGTCTGCTTTCGCCCCAACCCAGCGCGACCGCGGAATCCGACGTAGTCCAGGAGGTGCTCCAATATTAAAAATAATGCTGTCCAAAAATATAAATAAATAAGATCCACGGTCGGATGTGCGTGGCGTTAGCAGCCACCGGAACTCCTTGAGTTCCGTCGATCACACGGGCAAAGTGCCGGTGGTATGGATATCAGCGTTTAGCAACAAAATACAGTTTTTTTTTTGTTTGTTTTTTTATTTGGCACCGCGCAAAACGAATACAATAGCGGTTTCTAATCTTGACACCACCACTTCTGACGACAAATCGTATTTCGGAGCCAACCTGCTTTACTGCCAAACGGGAGAATGTTGGTATCGCTCTAGCGTATATCCCATCTGCCCTTCCGCTGCGGAGATGACGTAACCGGGCCTCACAGCAGGCGTGACGTTTTCGTCACGTGATGCGCGTTCTGCTGGGAAATTTGTCCGATTTCACCCTCGCGTGAATTTCATCAACACCTTTTAGATGAGAAAGCCTTAGTGCGGAATTTTCCAGCGTCACTAAAGAAGGCCACGTAAGGCACAGGTCGGACACAACTGCAACGACCGCGTTCAACCGGACCAGCCAGGCTTGTACGTAATTCAACTACTTCAACTCAAGTTACTGCACAGCTTAACTACTATTCTGATTAATCTGAGTGAATTTCGATTACATTTTATTTTGTTCTAGTAGTTTACTTCTCGTTTCGGGTTGCTTCTCAAATTACAAACTACTTTCGAAATGTCGTGGTAGGTCTTCTTATCAACCAGCATTCGCGCGCGAAATGAAATGAGATGTCAGAATATCAGATGATATTCGAAAAATATGGGAAAGACCTCAAGTCAAGAATATCTGCAGAGAGAATTACAGCTATCTTTTCGGGGTTCTGTGAGCTTTGCCGTCTGCTTCAACGACAGTCGGAAACAAGCACGAAACGCTAAGGTGCGTTTCGATTTTGCTCTCAATTAAGTGGGGCTGAGTAAACCGCGGGTTTAGCGTCCGAGACTGACGTTCTTTTTGTCCCTATAAGCTCCAGAATACGAGCAGGGCATTTGAAAGAAAAGGCTTGCCCCCAGATCTCCACCACGAAGGGAGTTACATTGAAGAAAGAGTAGCTAAAAAGGCGAGCTGGTTGATGTTACATGTTATTGAGACGTTTCGTGTTTGTCCCTTCTGTCGTGTCCTCGTCTGTCGTGTCCAGTGTTTTTCAAATATAGGAGCTACATTCTCACCCAAGGGAGGCGACAAAATGCCGCATCCTCTCCGAAGCTGTATGGTGTTCCTGTGCTTCTGTGCTGTATTCGAAAAAGTCGCGTGCTAAAGGGCAACGCAAAGGTGGCTCCCTTGCGTTGCTCTTTCCTCATAGGGCTCAGGTTTTCCAAGATTCGAAGATCGTTCAAGAGACTTTTGTAACCCCCCCCCCCTCCCCCCAACATTTTTACACAAAGAAAAACAAAACAAACACTGCCTGAAAAACCAAGCTCAGGCATTTTGAATCCTCAAAGTAGAAATGCTACATCCGAAGTGCAGTCATGCAGATACTAAATGGCTCCACGCGAGCGGGCATTTTTTATTCCAAGGAGCGCTTGACTGGTGGCTTACGTTCCAACTATCGCTGACATTGTTTTATGTAATTCCTCTTATTTACATCAGCATAACTGGTCCCTGCTTCGATCGAGTCCAGACCCTGTCTCGTGCGAGTCCAGCTCCCAGTCTCGTGCCCCGTGCAAGCAGGAGCACATCATCTTCACACGCACCTGGTTCGCTCTGGCCACACCCATGGCCAGTCGCTACCACACATCCCCCTCCCCTTGGGAATGATCAGTCATCTAAGTATCGAGAAGGACGTCTAATGCAGCGTCCCGTCCTTGTGTGAGGATGTGATGCGTCCTCGCACCCCTCCTGTGGTACTTCTTGCCCATCACTATCGGCAGGAGCCGCCAAATTCGTGAAGGTCTGAGTGGTCTCACTGGTGTATGGTACGAGATGTGTACGATTTCTTCCCACGACGCTTTGGCCGGTGTCAACGAGATATGAGCGTGGCTCTGATGTTGGGCACTGTACCGTTCCCTTCCTTTGGAGATCGACAACCCATACGTCTGTTCCATCGACTATGTCGGGCAGATGGCGGACACCATGGTGTTTGTCGTAAGCCGACCGTTGCTTGAGCCGGTAGCTTGTTTCAAACTTCGCGAGCTGCTCTAGGTTTGGAGCTGTTGGCCTCAGCAGTCTGTTCGGGATGGCAAGCTTTGACCGCAGTCGGCGTCCCATAAGTAGCTCGGCTGGGCTGTACCCGTTTTTCAGGGGTGTTGTTCGATAAGACAGCAGGGTCTCATACGGGTCTCTTGTCTTATTCATGGAGCTCTTTATTATTTTCACTGCAGCTTCCGCAAGTCCATTGCTTTGTGGATAGTGAGGGCTCAAGGTTATATGTTGGAAGCCGTATTCTCTAGCAAAAGTGGCGAATTCTGAGGTTGACACTCGTGAAAATTGTGGGCCATTGTCCGAGACGACAACTTCTGGAATACCGTGTCGTGCAAAGATACTCTTGCAATGGTTCACTACGACTTGTGCGGTCGTATTCTCCAGGCGGGCGATCTCTGGATATCTTGAGAAATAGTGTGGTAGCGACTGGCCATGGGTGTGGCCAGAGCGAACCAGGTGCGTGTGAAGATGATGTGCTCCCGCTTGCACGGGGCACGAGACTGGGAGCTGGACTCGCACGAGACAGGGTCTGGACTCGATCGAAGCAGGGACCAGTTATGCTGATGTAAATAAGAGTAATTACATAAAACATGGTGTCAGAAGTGGGATGCCCAGCCGAGCTACTTATGGGACGCCGACTGCGGTCAAAGCTTCCCATCCCGAACAGACTGCTGAGGCCAACAGCTCCAAACCTAGAGCAGCTCGCGAAGTTTGAAACAAGCTACCGGCTCAAGCAGGGACCAGTTATGCTTGCAATAGTATCTTATTTGCTGACAAACCGGATCCTTTTCCTGGCTGTCGATGAGCCACTGGAGGCTGGAACTGACAGCCGGAACGGTTGACCTTACAAATTGGACGAATGCTTCAACCTTTTCTTCCAGTTCAGACGACTCTTTTAGGGGAAGAGGTGCTCTTGAGAGCGTGTCTGCAGCCATGAGCTGCTTTCCTGGAACGTATGTTATCTCGTACGTGTATCTCATCATACGCATGCGCATTCGCTGAAGTCGTGGAGTGAGATCGTTTAAAGACTTGGAAGAAAATAGACTCACGAGAGGCTTGTGGTCAGTCCCTACTTTGAATGTTTTCCCGACGAGGTAGTCGCTGAACTTTTCGCACGCCCACACTGACGCGAGGCCCTCTTTCTCTATTTGCGCGTAGCGTTTTTCTGTATCTGTCAGCAGTCTCGAGGCATAGGCGATTACTTGGAACCTCCCGTCGTCTTGCCGTTGACGGAGAATGGCGCCAAGTCCATACGATGAGGCATCTGCGGTCACTACCGTTTCTTTGTTGGCATCGTAGATGCCCAGTACTGGTTCAGATGATAAGACAGCTTTCCATCTGTCAAATGCGTTTTGCTGGACTGGTTCCCAGACGAACTCTTGCTTCTTTGAGAGCATCGCAGTTAGTGGCTGCAGGATTTCGGCGAAGTTGGCTACGAACCGAGCCAGATAGGTCGCCATTCCGAGGACCCTCTGTAGCTCTGTTCTTGATGTAGGCGGTGGCATATCCATAACAGCCTTGAGTTTTGAAATGTCGGGTCGAATTCCTAGGCTGTCTATTCGGTGACCAAGAAACGTGAGTTCCTGTACACCAAACAAGTATTTGTCCCTGTTGAGAGTAATTCCTGCACTGCAGATCTTTTCAAGGACGTTACGGAGTCTTTCGTCGTGTTCTTCTTTGCAGGATCCCCAAATCAGAACATCGTCCATGAGGCATACGACACCGCTGAGTCCTTCAAGGATGCTTCACAGTTGTTTTTGGAAATGTTCTGGAGCAGATGAGATCCCGAATGGGAGTCGGTTGAAACAAAATCTGCCGAAAGGTGTGATGAACGTGGTGAATTTCTTGCTTTCGTCGCTCAGGGGAATCTGCCAAAACCCGGAGTTAGCGTCGAATTTCGAGGCGATTTTCGCGCCCTGAAGAAGGCCAAGAGTATGTTCGACGGACGGAATGGGATGCCACTCTCTCAAGACATAGCGATTTAATTCTGTGAAGTCAACGCATATGCGCACTGCTCCAGTCCGCTTTGGTACGATCACCATGGGTGCGCACCATTCGGTTGGGTCACTGACAGGGGAGATGACGCCGATGTCCTCCATACGTTGAAGTTCTTGCTTCGTCTTTTCGTACAGTGGGATCGGGACACGACGTGGCGAGCTTAGAGCAAACGGTTTCGCGTTCTCCTGGAGCTGCAGGTGATATTCCCCAGGGAATGTTCCCAACCCTGTGAACAGTGATGGAAAGTCGACTTTCGGGTTTACCGTCGTTTCGATCCTGTTGATTGGTGAAAGTAGTTGGAGCCCTTCGATAGCCGGCTTTCCTAAAAGGGGTATGGTAACGTCTTGGAGAACATAAATGTTCTGCTCAGACACTCGGTCCTTGTAGGACATTGCGAGGCGTACCACACCTTGTATTGCTAGCGCCTTTCCGTCTGGTCCACGAAGTTGGCGAGGTGGATTCTGCAGTAGCGGCTGTGGTTCAAGCTTGTTGAACACCGCTGGTGGGATTACCGTTTCGTCGGCGCCTGTGTCGATCTTAAATCTCACTGGCTCGGACTGGATTAACACATCAACCTCCCAACTATTAACTTGCGGAGATGTCACTGTTCCAAGGAAACCGACGTTGGGACCTGGAGCTTCTACGAAGTCCACTTTTTTTGACAGGCATACCTCGGAGAAGTGTCCTTTCTTGTGGCAATTTGTGCATACTTTGGACCGCGCTGGACACGAAGTGCGTGGATGCGTGTCTCTCCCACACCACCTGCATCGTGTTCGGTTGTCTGATGGCATGGTTAGCGGACGTTGCAGGTATGGAGTGTTTTCCCTCTGTCTTCTATCGTCAGGACCCTCGCGTTTGTTTGTACTGAGGGCCGTAGAAGCAGTTTTTAGAGCGCAGCTCTTAGGGGCCCGTTCCCGGCTTGAGCGGCGTCGCCGTCGCCGTCGGCGTAACCAAGGTCACCTCAAGGTCACATGACCCCCAAGGTCACGCGACCCCCAAGGGCATCCCAAGGTCACGTGACCCCCCAAAGGTCACGTGACCCCCCGAAGTCACGCGACCCCCTGAGGTCACGTGACCCACCCTGAGGTCACGTGACACCCCCCGAGGTCACGTGACCACCCCCAGGATCACGTGACCCCCCGCCGAGGTCACCTGACCTCCCAGATGACGTCACCGGCATCCGCATCGTCATCGTCATCATCACTGATGACGTCATCAGTGACGTCACTGATGACCTCACCGGCATCCGCATCGTCATCATCATCATCACTGATGACGTCACCAGTGACGTCACTGATGACGTCAACGGCATCCGCATCGTCACTGTCATCATCGCGGATGACGTCATCAGTGACGTCACTGATGACGTCACCGACATCCGCATCGTCTCGTCATCATCGCTGATGACGTCATCGGAGTCCGCATCGTCAACGTCACTGATGACGTCATCAGTGACGTCACTAATGACATCATCGGCATCGTCACGTGACCCCTCAAGGTCACGTGACCCCCCAGGTCACTTCACCCCCCCAGTACCCTTCCCTCCTCCTCCTCAAGAGCTGCGCTCTAATTCGGCGTTACAGGGAGTTGTAAACGGCTTTCACTTTTTTCTTTGTCCGATGACGAAATCTTGTGGATGTTCGAATTTCGATCCTGGTTTAGTTCCTCCTGTTGTTTGCGCACGCTTTCTACTTGTCTGGCTGTTTCCAGCGCTGTCTGAAGCGTTAGTTCGGCGTTAAGTTGTAGCTTTGCAGAGAGTTTTGAGTCTTGAATGCCGACAACGAAGCGATCCCTCACCAGTTGCTCTCGCAGATTGCCGTAGTCGCAGTCCTTCGACAGGGTATGAAGTGTCGTTGCGAACTCTTCAATGGACTCCGTCTTGTTGGGATCTCATGTTGAAGCGTGCCCGCTCGAAAATTATGTTCCGCTTTGGGATAAAGTAGCTGTCAAACCTTTGCAGTACGACGTCAAAATTCTTGGAATCCTCCGTGGACAACTGGAAAGTGCTGAGAACGTCCTCTGACTGATCTCCCATTATATAAAGGAAGGCGTCAATTTGGTGCTCCTCAGGCTTTGGGCAAAGTCCTGATGCGGTTCGGAACCGTTCGAATCGTTTCTTCCACTTGGGCCACTCATTGGGTGACGTAAAGCAGAAAGGTTCAGGTGGCTGAATCATAAACGATGCCATCGAAGCAGAAGGTTTGAGGCTGGCTTCAGCCATTGCTCACCTTTCTGTGCAGCAGGTGAAGACTGTTCGTTGTTCCTCTATTCTGACACCATGTTTTATGTAATTCCTCTTATTTACATCAGCATAACTGGTCCCTGCTTTGATCGAGTCCAGACCCTGTCTCGTGCGAGTCCAGCTCCCAGTCTCGTGCCCCGTGCAAGCGGGAGCACATCATCTTCACACGCACCTGGTTCGCTCTGGCCACACCCATGGCCGGTCGCTACCACACAGACATCAGGACTCGCCCATGTGGAGCAGATAGGGGGAAGCACATCAACGCGCCGCTGCCATTATCATCTGCGCCTGTGTCACCGCGGTCCGGCTGAAAAGTGCTCATAGTTGTTTTGATTCATATTTTTTATCTCGTCGTCCTCAAACACGTAGCCGCCAGTCACCGAGCTTGCCGTTTCGATCAGACCGCGGTGACACAGGCGCAGATGATAATGGCAGTTCGCGTTGATCTGTGGGCTCCCCCCTACCCGCTTCTCATGGACGGGTCCTGACGTCACCGCTAGCTCGAATGTAAGCCATCAGCCCAAGCGCTCCTCGGAAAAAAAACGCCTGCTCGCGAGAAGCTATTTATGCATGACTATACGTCACCTAACAAAAAGGCTAAAAACAAAAGAACAAAATTTAAGGCGAGCAGGCGCAGAACCTCCAGACAAGAACTTTGACAGCATATTGATTATTCGAGCCAATAAAAGGTTTTCACTAAAACGCGAGCGAGAGAATGGCCGTCTTTCTAAAATGACCGTCTATTACAACCTTTGTACTTTCTTGCTACGATAAAAAAATATATATAAAGATCATCTTCAAGAGTAATTCGCTACTTTTTACTATAGTTAGTTCTTTACTCAATTACTTTCTAACTCAGTAAGTTCTATTCTACTCAAATTACTTTTGAGGCCGATACTCAGTAACTTACTCTTTTTAGTAAGTTGCACATGTCTGGTTCCAGCCAAACGCCGGCACAGCAGTCGTGTCCAATTTCTGCCCTTCGTGCGCCTTTTCTAATAACGCATGAGAATTTAGCCACTAAAAGGCAGTCCAAACCAAACAGGAATGCGGCCGCCCGGACACTTTATTTTTGTTTTTCGAGTGGTGTCGCGTCATTCGTGACGTATTCTCTGTTCCGCAGGCCGTAATCAGAGCTGGAAAAATTTCAACATTTGGCGGTCCGCAATTACAGGGCGGGAGATAAAGGGCGTTCCTCGATTCTCGGGAACCTTACAAAAGGGACAAACCGAGGCTTAAGTCACTTCTTTTGCATTCTCCCCGCTGCAATCAGTGCAAAAAAAAAAAAATCACCACATGAAGCGCTCTTCCATTGATTTTCATTGGCCGTTCTTTGTGACATTACATTAGATTGCGATTGGCCGCCTCGGGAACCGCCGTGACGTCACTTTATGGACCGCTTTGGTCGTCGCCGGTGAGCTGGCTGCTTTGTCCAAATGGATACTGGGAAAGTAAGCCATTGTCTCCCATGCCTGCTAGTCGGACACAAACGGATGCTAACGTACAGACAACCAGACCTCGCAATGTGATTGGCTGATCGGTCTCAGTTGCCATGGCAATCGCCCTTTTGGTTCATTCAAATCTTCGAAGCTCCAGAAGGGTCGTCCTGAACCAGTCGCGCCAACATCGCTATGGAGCATCACGGTAAGGACAGCGTTCTTCGTCAAAATAAGCGTCTTTGAAACTGTGCATGCAATACATCAACTACGCTTATCTCTACAGATCTCTTACAATAATATTCTTGCGTATTGAAAGACAGGAAAATTATTTTTTCCAATGCTGCCAAGTACCAACGCCACCTGTGGTGGCAGTACGAAGATGTCCGCTTGTTTCGCCAGTGTGTGGATAGCAAAATCTCGGTTTTTTAAAAAAAATGTCTTTATAAAGCAACCTAAAGCAAAGAGTTGAGGGAAAGATCCTCGCACCCCTTCCCACTTTAGCAGAACAAACGCTAGAGAGGAGGGAACCTCTTCTCCAGCGTTCGTTCGCTGGAGAAGAGGTTCCCTCTTCTCCAGCGAAGATTTTTTCCTCAACTCTTCCCCAGACGAACGCTGGAGAAGAGGTTCCCTTCTCTCTAGCGTTTGTTCTAAAGTGGAAAGGGGTGAGAGGATCTTTCCCTCAACTCTTAACCGGTCGCCGGTTATACCTGTGATTGGCGGATAAGATCTTCGCCCCGTGATGGACATTCCAATAGCATATTGCGTGATGGACATTACAATAGCAATTAAAAATGATCCTATCAGTGTGTGATCGTGGACACAGCGCTGGCTGTAACACGCGACCTGTGACCGTTTCGAAATCTCTGAGAGCCGCGCATGCTCGCGGCGCTGGGCGTACACTGCGCATGCGCGATGCGGCACTCTTGCTCTTCCAGTTTGTGATCACATCCCCACTTGGTCGTCTGCTAGGCGCTAAGCAGACGGCGCCACAGCTCATGCCGATGTTATAGTCAGTTGTATCCACGATAGTACCACGTCGAGACATACCAATTATCGGAGGCCTGGCAAGCCCGGACAGGCCAGCCATGAGGGACGCCGCACCGAAGCAGACGCTGAAGTTGGCGGACTCAACCAGTTCCATGAAGAAAACATGTATCAGGATCTCGGTGGCTCCAGCGGACCAGCCTAGAATCACGGACATAAGGACCATGAGGGAATACGAGTAACAAAGGGGCAAAAGAAACAAGGCCATAGCCGAGAGGAGAAAGTGCAGCGTCATCATGGTGCTCCTTCTCAAGAAGCCCTTGTCTGTAATCCATCCGGATGCAAAACTCGACACCATCTCCGCTGTTGCAAAGATCGTGATCAAGAGAACAGCGTTCCATTTCAATATTTTCTGATCCATTGCGAGGTCCACGACGACGGTTATGTAGGTGGTAACGCTAAGAAAAATGTGTGAATATGAGAATGCAATGGCGTAGAACTTGGGGATGGCAAAGAACGACAATGATCCGAGTATATGGCTTCGAACGCTTGACCCTGCTACTAGCTTCTGTGCTGTCCTCGAAACGTCGTACATATTTAGCGCATCCTGAACTTGTGGTTCCACTAGTTCTATATTTTGTGCATTGAGCTGATCAGTTCCGGGGTTGTCTGTCACTCTTGAAGACAAAAGAATATTTATGTCTTCATCTTCGGTGCTTAAATTATCTTTACTCGACGACCGCGCAGATTTTGGCAGGAGTCCGGCTGAGAGCTCTCCTGGAGCGCGGGAACCCTCATTCTCAAGGGTGGCTCCTCGTAATGCCTTGGCTCTAGGAGAATCAGTCCGTGCTTTCTCGTGAGAAGTAGGAACAGACACCACACGAGGATCTTGTTGTAGTAAGGCGGCGGCGGCAGCGTTGAGCATCAAAGCACCCCCCAACAACAGACCTCCTCTTAGGCCGTAACGGTCGAAGAAGAGCTGTGCAATTGGGGGGAAGGCGAGGCCCCCGATCGTGAATCCTGCGTTGCTAATGCCAGAAGCGACTGTCTTGTAGTTAGTGAAGTGTCGGTTGATGACCGTGGTAGTAAGCGTCGTGTACGCGGCGGTGATGCCTGCAGAAGAACAATAATTCACTACATTATTCGGTCTGTTTGATTTTAGTTCGAACCGATCTTTTCATGGGATGCCGAACCAAACTTAGCATTTCACAAAATGCATGGGCCGCAGAAGCGTTGAACGGGACGCTACAAACTCCAAAACATCATACATCCGATATCTCAAACGGATGACTGTCTATTTGGAAAAGAAGGGCGGGAACAAGGCGAGAAATGTGACGTTTCGATTCTCCTGGAACGGTTGAGAATGAGGGGAAGCGGCCTGGCTTCTCTTTTCCTCGCTTCCGTTCACTTGCTCGAAGAGACGAAGCGAAAAGGAGAGGGAATTAGAGTCGTGACGTAAGATGTCTCGTTGACCTTGTTCAATCGTGCACTTTTTTTTTTTTTTTTTCTAAAAAAATATGGCCATTTTTAAGAGATATCGCTGTGTGAGTGATGCTTTGGGGTTTTACAGCGTCCCGCCTATCGCTCCAGCCTTGTTTTGTGAACTCCGAATTTCGGTTGAACATCCCTTTAATTAGGGGGTGAGAGTTATCACGGGTGTTGTCTTTAGCCTACACTTGTCAGACCTGGCAAACACTATAGTCTGTTGCAGGTTAAGAAACCAGGACAAGGTCCTCCCGTAGAGCTTTTTTCTCTTTCCACTTTAGCGCCTGCTGAAGTGATAAAGTGGAAAGAGTAAAGAACACTGGAAAAGAGGCAAGAAGATCGCCTCCTTTCCAGCGTTCTCTTTGCTAAAGTGAAAGAGGAAAGGGCTCTACGGGAGGAGCTTGTGCTGGTTTCTTAACCTGCAACTGACTGTAGAAAAGGGGATAGCAGTCACAAAAAATATTACTTATTAAAGCAAAAATTTGTTCATTAACTTTTTTAAATATTTGTCGTACGTCACAAATGATAAGTGCTCAAGAAGGGGGGAAGGGGTTTATCTCCCCTTTCCTCTAATAGACTGATCTCACCAGCAAGTTTTGCCATGCCACCGCTGCCGCGATGCATTGTGGGACCTTTAAAGGAGCTGTGCAACGATATTCAATTGGAATGTTTTTCTCTCTACACGAGCTTACTGGCACAGCTGGGACTCAAGGAACAAACTACTCATCCGGTAAGGGTCCACAAGGGTCGCGCGGGCATATTCCATTCAGCAGGCCAGCCAGTCATGGACAGACGGTCTTGGCCAAGGACCGCCGGAGCAACGGTGCGCCGAGTCGATGTTGCTGCTAGGCCTACTATATTCTGCCGAGCTCGCTCGGTCGGCAGAATCGTGGCTGTTGTAGCTCTTCTCGTGTGTTTGTGGATCCTGCGTTCTTGATCATCGTGGTCTGTTTTAAGTACTCCTTCCTTTTTTCTTGCTGGTTGACGTCGGGACGCACGAGAAGAGCACGAAGAAAAATAAATGTCCGTTGGTGGCCGATACCAAGTAACTGAGCGACGCTGTCGGCCTTGTTGATTTGATCGTAAAAAGTGCGTAAGACAGCTTCGGAACTGTCGTAGGATTCTGTCGTAACCTGCGCAAAGGTTACGACAATTTCGTTTCGAGAGCACGGGTTTTCTCTCAAATTTGTCGTACGCACTTTTTTCGTCGTGAATTCGCTTTGAGAATCCGGCCTCAGAGCTGGTTTTGTCAGTGCTGCCGTGGTTGCCGACTTGCCGTGGTCCCGTGGTGCAGCGTGCGTGCAACCCTTGCACATCTCAAACGGCCACGTTGTCACAGGTCGTAAATCGTCGACGCGCCACCAAGTGGCAACGCTCGTAACCACAACATTCACGCCGTAGCCTTTCCCGACTGGCACAAGTGACGTCACGAATGCGCCCAATATCCCAAGACGCAACGCGCTCTCCGATGGCCGATTTTTGAGCGCGCGCCCAATCGGGCCCATCAGGGTGAAAAATATAGCCATCCGTTCAAAATACAAACGCGCGATTATGATTTATGAATATGATTGATCATATTGAACCTATTTCTGACCATAATAGGTGTATTTCGAGTTTCGCTTCAGTATCCCTTTAAGTTTAGCAACTTCGACGGTGTGGCTTATTTGGAGACTGCTCTTGAGCCGAAGTCAAACAAGAGCAGCATCGAAAGGGCGGTGTTCATTTGTTTCGACAACTTACCAGATGTGGTATGCCAAGTATACCTTCAGGGCCATGAATGCGCTGCGCATTGTAACCATGTATGCAACCCACATTGTAATCATGTATTTCAATGCCGTGCTGTAAGCTATTACAACTTTTTCCTTGCCTGATCCACGTGTGTTCATGTTTTCTGCTCAAAATGATGTGAAATAGTTGCTTGTTTTCTTTGAATCTTATAAAGCATTACTTGTTCAGCCCACGTTGTCTCAGTTTTTGGACTCAAGTTCAATGTTAAAACGCGTGATAAAAATTGTCACGACTTATAAGCCATTTCTTACAAGTGAACGTCGGGTGGTCCTCGGATGGTCGTGGCAGCCATGAAGAAATAAAATATTCTCACCCTTTGCGACCGTCGCTTGGGCGGTTCGTCCCATAAATGAACTCAAGAATGAGTGACAAGTGAAACGAGATGATTAAGGTCAAGAAAAGGAGACGGGCTGGAAAGAAGACGGAGAAGTTAACCTGGGGTATTAAAAACATACTAAAACAATCTCGGACTTTAGTATGTGCCGTTCGTTCCATTATAAAATAAGATAGGGGAAAAAAAAAACTGCTTTTGAGTTTTAGATATCCCTTTCAAATATCAAATGTTCGGCCTTTGCGACTCAAGGAAATAGGCACTTCATTTAAAATGCTCACCATTCGACAAGCAGAAAGTCGCAGCTAATTCTAAAGCGCGAAACACATGTACGACGAAACCTTCCGATCCGACGTGCGGACTGCCGGAATGACCTTGGGGGGAGAGGGTTTTCGTAGCATCGGAGAGCGTTGAAAACCCTCGCCTCCGACCGTCGTGTTGCGTGGTCGGACGTCGGATCGGACGGTTTCGTCGTACATGTGTTTCGCGCTTAAAGACCGACGACCAGTTCGCGCTTTCCACTTTTCACCCGCTTCCTCCTCTCCCTCCTACCCTTTCCACCCATGCCCGCCCCTCTTGGTCCCTTCTTTCCATCCTTCGCTTCCCTCCCCCGAAGGCGTGGAGAGGAGGGTCTTCTGCCTTGCAGAATCTCGAGTCTGGTCGTCGGCCTTTAAAGGGGTTATGACACGCTAAAAATAAAATATGAGATAACTATATTGGTAGGACCCGCTGTATTTTCCTATAATCCTGCTAAATTTGTATTGAAAATGCCGCGATAGTTTCGTGAATAAATCGATTTATAGGCGGGCCCCTCGGAGGGGCAGATCCGGGCGGAGCTGGAGGTTGGCTACGTAGCCAGCCTCCAGGGTGGTATCTCCTTGCAGGCACTCCCAGACTTGGCTCTCTTGGCGTATCGAGCCTCAGCTTCCTCGTTTACCTTCCACGTCTCGAGCATGCGGTCCGTGACGATTACGTTTACGGCGTCGCTCGCCTTGTCGAAGTGTTCGACATTGATCGCGGCAGCGATGAGAGTGATTGCTATCAAAAGATGTGGGAAGCTGTTCATTTTGACTGCGACCCGCTGGCGACCAGCACCAGCGACGACGAGTTACGGACGCGCTCGCTGTGGCCGGCGTCGTCCGGGAATATCTCGCAGGCGCCTGCAGGGTGGAAGGTCAACGGGCCGGGGGCGAGAGCGAGAATAGCTTTCGGGTTACCGAGTTGTGTGAGCGGTTTTGATCATACCGCGACGAGGATAGCTTGAACGATCATGGGGGCGCCTAGAATGAGAGAGTGCTCATGGTCACGTGGTTTATGGACACCATGGTGTGACTAACTTGGGCAGTGTTGCCTGGTCGCCAGATGAAAATGATAAAAATTCGTAAATTGAATATTGCAATTACCAGAGCTCTAAAAATCACGTAGAATATGAGCATTCCATTTCAAGAAAAATCTATCCGTTTGATTTTTGTGTCATAACCCCTTTAAGCTGAAACAACTTGCAGTCCGCTTCTTTAAAGTCGCAATTGTTTTTATGTAAAGGAAGGGTAATGTAGCCTGTACCGTCCAATACATTGAAGCATCATTTTGCTAACGATCGTGATGCAGCGTAATTGATGCCGCGGTACGACCGCTGGCAGGATGTAGCTGTATCAGAAATCCTATGTGCACACCACCAAAGCGGCACCAGATTCATATTTTCGCACGTGCAGCCGCGCATGCGCACACCTTCTGGATAACGCGCCGGTGTCGACACTTGTCGCGATCAATACCACGCGCTTCAGGCAAGCCCCTCCGGTCCCAACACTACCCAAGTTGATACTAGTACAGTGGCCACTGTAATACTATAAAAAAACAAAAACAAAATATATATATATATATGTGTGTGTACTACCTTGATCACAGTTAGCGGGAACGCCGGAGCGCGTGGCAGCGGGTGAGTGCCTTCATACACACGCGCGCTTTTGCTTGAGTGGTGACATCTCGGCCATTTTTCCGCCCAATCGTTCTTTCTATGCATTTTGAAGTGCGCGCAATCCGGTGTCACTCAGCACGAGCGCGTAGCTTTGGCTAATGCATAGACGCCATTTTACCGCCCAAGTCACGCACCAAGTGCGCGAGAGCGTCACGCGCTGGCACATTCAGGGCAACAATGGATGTCTTCACCCTGAGACAGACAGACATATAGGCACCCTAGCAGCGGGTACTATCAGAGCAGCCTAACGGCCCGGCGCGCAAGTTCCAGCGCACGCGCATCGCGCCTGCTGAGGGAATATGCTCTCATCGCGCGCATCGCGTCATCGGAGCGCTCGCGCGTCGTCTGCTACGGGCGTCGTCTTCTACGCGAAGCATGTCGTATGGAAGCGCAGGGGTTAAAATGCGTGTAGATGAACTTATCAGCCAACGGGCATGCGACAAGCATGCGAATATTTTGATGCATGATACAGTATCATACCTTTTTTGTTTCTTATATTTTATTAAAAAAATATTCGAGGCCCCCTCCCCCGCATGCGGCGTGCTTGATAAATTTAGGCGCCTTTGCATTGCTGTCAGAACGATTGCTGCACCTCGTCATGGCCAGAGTTCCAGAGGCGGACAGGT